TCAACTTCCCTAATACCGACTGCGGATATAACGACAATTCGCGAATAACGACAGAATTTCGATGCCCAGAGCAAAGTCCCATCCCACTGTAATACATATAATGAGACTTTGGGTATAAGGACAATTCGCGAATAAGGACACTTTTCAGATGCCCCGCTGAGTGTCGTTCTACGCAAAGTTGACTCTAGCAGCATTCGGCCCTGTGCAGATTTATCATGAGCCACCACACCATATCTGCGCTCTCCAGCCAACCTCGACACGTCACAGCACACCATCAGCAAAGCGACACACGCACGTTGGTGCTGAGTTCATGCAGCGGTGTCGCTTTGCTGGTGGTGTTGTCCGTGCCTCTTTTGGAGTGTGTGCGCTGGGTCCGAGCGGGCGGTGTGCGGACTGCGCAGGTTGCGACCCAGCCCGCATGCGTGCATTGTACGCATTCTTGTTGCTCTGTTCCTTGCCTTCTTCTTGAGCCTCTCCTTTAGAGAAACCCCCGACGACAGTGGTGTGCTGTGGCAACGTCGTGTCGAAGTCGGTTGGAGAGCATAGTTATGCTGTGATGGTGGATGAAAAAGATGTGGTGGTTGTTGTGAAACTGCAGTTTATAAACTGAGGGATAGCCGGCGTTAGCATCAATGCCTTTTCTTGCAATGAAGCTGCAGGAAGCTTCATCCAGAGTTGTCTTTTCTTTTCTTATTCATTTGCAAGTGCAGTGTTGTAAGACCTGTGTGTGGTGAAGATTGTGCGGAGAGACCATCTATCTTTAGCCCGGTGTGTGTGTCTGTGTGTATGTGTGTGGGCGTGTGTGTGTATGTGTGTGGGCGTGCGTGTGGGCATGTCCGTGTACATGTACTGCGGTCTTTTGCCTGTCCTGCACCTGTCTGCCTGCAGGGGTGTGGAGTGGGTGTCGCAGACTACATTCTTCTCCTGGGCATTCAGCTCTCCCAACATGTCCGGACTAGTGCGCAATGAATTGTTCACCGTTGATACCGTCACTGGTAAGGCATATTACTGTATATGGGGCCATTCGTAAATACCGATATTTATTTAGAAACGAAAAAGTTTAGTTATGAGCCACCCACCCCTCTGAACGAAAAATATATTGACTTGACAGCTAGAATGGATTGATGTTTCAGCTATCGATATGTTTCATACCGAAACTCTCCTGGACCCACCCACCCGTGAACGAAACTTTTTTTCGTGTTGTGTAAAAGATTAATAATTATGGACGGCCGGCCCCTTACATGTAATTTTAGGTGAAGGACGAATTCATTGTGTGGGCGACCTGCCAGGTTTTAGGTGTAATCTAGAAGTAGGTGACCGGCGTTCCCTGCACATGCTGTGCGTACTCAAGTGCCATTTACGTGTAATCTAAATTTAGGTGCCTGGTTTCTCTACCGAAATTAAAGTTACACCGAAAAATAACGTGTTATACTATTGCACGCACCAGTATGGTTTTGTGCAGGGCCTGTTTTCTCCGATTCCATCTAGACAGGTTTGTGTGTGTGTGTGTGTGTGTGTGTGTGTGTGTGTGTGTGTGTGTGTGTGTGTGTGTGTGTGCGTGTGTGTTTGTGTGCGCGTGTGTGTATGTGTGTGTGGGTGTGTGTGTGTGTGTTTGTGTGCATGTGCATGTGTGTGTGTGTTTGCACGTGTGTGTGTGTGTGTATCTGCCTGTGTCTGTGTGTGCATACGTGCGCGCTCGTGGTGTTTGTCAGGTCGAAGTCGAGTGATTCGTGCAACATCGGCGGGAGAAGGAGAGTCTCCAATTGAAGGTGTTCGCATATCCTCGATGAAGTATGTGTGTAAAAAAAGCGCGGTTATTGCATGCTAGATGTGTGTCCGTTCATTGTTGTTCGAATCCTGGTGCTAACTGTCGATTGGTCTGTCGTCTTTCGCATGGATTTTTCATTCGCCTGCAACATGTGTGGATGTGGGTGCGCGTGTCTTTGTCCATGTTTGCGTGTGGGTGTGGATGTGTAGAAAGAGAGGGGGGGGGGGGGGGGGGGGAGTGTGCATTGCGTGCGCTTAACTTGCATTGTACATGTATTATGTGCATGGATGTTTACATTTCTTGTGTGGTGTCTTACTCGTTTGCTTTGCGGTTCTCTTGATTTTTCTGTGTGCGTGTGGGTGCGTGTGTTTGTGTGGGTGCGCATGTGTGTGCGTGTGTGTGTGTGTGTGCACGCGTGCGTGTGCGCTTGTGTGTGCACGCGTACAGACAGTACTTCACTGTGTACCTCAAGGACAAACCCATGGAGATCTGGGATGCGCAGACTTTGACGCTGCTACGCCAGATGAAGGAGCGATTTCCGATTGCAACGTCCGTGGTAGGTTTGTCATCTCAGTATTGAGCCTGGCCGTTCTTCGGCGCCCGGCAGTACTGAAATCTACAAACTTTTCTGTCCCATCTTAAGCTGAGTCTCCAAGGGCCCAACATCTTTTTAAAATCGCATGAAGTTCAGCCTGCGCTGGTCCTGCCTCTAAACACTGCCCCACTGCATCATGCAGGTAAATATGTAACCAACTGATTTTAGGCCTCGCAGTGTCCCGCCGAATAATATAGTAAGCCAGAAATAGGTACCGTCCGTGCCGGATTTTTGTTGATTTGCAAAAGATTGGATCTTTGCGCTTGCTCTGGAAGCTAGCCAGGTCCGGTCCAACCTATCACTTGTTAGGGCCGGTTCCCACTACGGTACCGTGAGTGCCGTGCCGACGATTTGGGTAGGTCACGTGTACCCCACGGTACGAGCTTGAAGCTGAGAGTGATTTACACCTGCGCACAGTCATTCCGTGCATTCCGTCGGCAGGCCGGATCAATTTCTGGCTTTGGTCCTGAGGGAAAATAGCGGGGGCCGGGGAGATGACTGGAGAAAGCTCAAGAATCAACCAATCGAAAAGCCAAAAGCCAAGAAAAAACTTCGTACCACAAATACAAACGAAAGAAAAAACTTCCTTTCAGGGAGTAGTAAAATACCTACTACTCACTGCATTCGACCTCGCGGAATACCCGGCACGCGGCATGCCATTTCCACCCCCCAGAGGCCCTCGGCACCGGAATGTCCACGGCGCGGTACGGCAGGAGCCACGGAATGAACTCGCGCCAAAACTGCCCCTCACGTGAGCAAATCACCATGGGTACTCACGGCACGGCACTCACGGTACCGTGGTGGGAATCGGCCCTTAGTGGGATTCGCCCGCCATCAGTTGGTTTGGGAGCCACACATCCAACTTGGTTGACAAATGTACATCGATGTAAAAATTTATTCTCTTTCATGTACTTGCCATGTACTAACACTTAGTGCATGTATACTGTTTTTTTTCCGTACGCTATCCTTCCTGCTGCAATCTATTTCACGATGAAACAGTTGACAGATGCGTAGAACCTATTATTTGGGAGACATGCGACCTGTATCATTATTATTATTATTGTGGGCAATTATGAGTCGTTGGCGTGTTGGCCAGTGGAGGTGCCAAGAACCTGGACCTTCTGCGCGCTGAGTATCAAGCCTGTGTCACCTGAACAAAGTGGCGGCTTAGGAAACTACTGCTTACAGGACTTGGTTGATTGTGATCACATCAACCTTGCTCATGCATACTATGATGTCGTCACCAGAAGCCTAGTCTTAGGGCTTAGGGAAGCGGCGAAATGTATCTTCATTTCATTGGCATATGACTCATATCTATGTGTACTGCACGTCTTGTGCGTATTGCTCTCAGGAGTGGACTCCTGCCAAAGGTCGCCGACCCCCGACAGACAAGGCATTGCTGACTGAGGGTGCCTCGTCAGAAAGCAAAAGTACTCAGGTTGGTCTCAAGGCGCCGATACTTCTCTTCTCTGCTTTGCTCTTGTCTCTCGTCGCTCTCTCTCTCTCCCCCCCCCTCTCTCTCTCTCTCTCTCTCACACACACACACACACACACACACACACACACACACACACACGCACACGCACACACACACACACACTCTCTCTCTCTCTCTCTCTCTCTCTCTCTCTCTCTCTCTCTCTCTCTCTCTCAATAATAGTATGTGATCAGGATGAAACCAATGAAATTTTTTTTTCATATGATTGCAGACTGCAGCTCGCCTTCCCCGACTCCCTTAGTGGAGACGTGTGCGGCAGAGAGTAGTATATGCTCGGACGATGTGTGCCTCATGACACTTGGGGAAGTCCCTAGGTACAAATTGCTGGAACTTCAGAATGTGCAGATATATTATGACTTTTCAAGGTTTTCGGAAATGCTTTCGCCAAAAGTGAACAAGAGTACGAAAGATACAATTCTCTGTAGAAGTTCAATGGGAGATTACAAATTAGCCTTGTCGATCTGTGTAAAAGCAAGAGTACATGACCCCCAAGTGTGTGCAGCTACAGCTATGGGGTCTGCGACGGCTGAACAGTTCACATCGCGTGACAAACCCGTACGCATTATGTTCACCCTGTGCGTGATTGATACAGGGTTGTACGCAACCCTGCTTTGAGTTCAACTCTCTTTGCGGTCGCTTTGCACTGTTTGGCAGCGTAGCCTTTCGAACTGTGTCACATAATGTGAAGTTCTGCCGTCGCAGCACTGTATACAGGTTGTGTAGGTAGTTGCACACTCTTGGAGGTTTTGTATTCTTGGTAAAAAGGGGCGTATAAAGTGTTCTATCGTAATGCCACTTGTTCCTGTCGTATGTGACTCATATTTTTTTCTAATCATCTAATAATTTCGTTATGCTGTGGGACCAATTTGACCAATTTCGTTTTCGTTTCAGAAAACATTCATGCGTGTACGTGTACATGGCCGTTGGAGCAGTGACACACTTGCAACTTTGATTGGACGTGTATATGCATGTATGTCGACATTTGTTACGTTCTGAGGGGGAGGGAGGGAGCGGAGGGGTTGGGTCTAAACTAAAATAATTCGTTTGGTGAAAAAAAGTTGGATATTTACGGACGGCCCCGAACGCCCCCATGTCTGTGCTGTGCTATGCTACAGGCGTATGTGAGGGAGCATCTTGTCATGACCGACGTGGACTCTTGCCTACGTCATTACGTCATCGAGGGCAGCAACATCAAGGAAGGCTCCAAGATCCCAGCCGAGGTACGTTGCCATGGTGATACTGTCCCCCGACCAAGGCTTGTTCCAACCTGTGTCCTGCTCTTACAGTGAAACCTGTCTAAGGTGATCGCTCAAGGGACCTTCAGAATGTGCTCACTGTGTACAGATTAGGGGGCAAACGGGTGTACCTTTAACTAACGAACGGGTACTGTAATTTTCTTAACGGGCGGGTTAACGGGTACCCTTTAGCAGCCATGTGTAATTTTTTGCGCAATTTTCACATAAATCAAGATTTTTAATTGATCTGTTCTCGGGTTGCATTTTGATATCACATTGTGATTCGCAAATTGATTGGGGGTCTGATAGTCGCAGAGGTAGATCTACTAGCGAAAATGCAAAAACAATGCAGACATCCAGCGTGGAGTTGTAAATAATTGACTCCCGCCTGGAATACACGATCCCAGCAGTGTTGCTCCGTACTGATTGGATCATTGAAATCCAAACGGGTACCCTTTTACTGACGGTACCTGAGATTAACGGGCTTACAATGAACACTCGGCAGCCTCCAGAACAGCCGAGTGAACTGGAAGTGGCCCTGAAGAGCGCCAGTAGCCGCGCAGACTGGCAACCATGGCTCTCACTAGGCTGAAGGACAGTTTAGTCCGGACGAAAGCCATGGTGACGGAAAAAGGCCCGTTGCGCTTGTGGCTCAGTTTGCTGGCAATCCTGGCAAACAGCGCAGATGAGGCTTTTCCCTGTCCACCAGTGGTGGAGAAGACAATGGGCACAAAGGAGGAGTGCTCTACCTCCAGAACTCGCCGCTCATATTTCCTCCGCTTCTCCTGCTCATGCTTTCTGTAGACAGACGAGAGTGTAAGATTTCGATTTGAGGGGACAAAAGGGTTGAACACCCGAACATCAAACATTGTCCTCTCAAACCTACTCCCATACAACCCCTGCACTGCCACATCCAGCCTGGCATGGTCTTCGATGTTGGTCGATCGAAGAAGGAACATTTCACCGGACAGGGGCTCCAGTGCAGGCTCCACACAGACATCGTGGGCTACTTCCCGCAGCAAATTGGCGGTGAGGTCGCGAATCTCATTGTGCCGCATTCCAGGGAAGACACCAACTGAACACGACAGTGCATGCGTCGTGTCAAACGGCTTGCTGCAGACGCAATGGGTTGGCAGTCAGGGAGGGGTCCAGCCGTACCGCAGGCACAAGGCATCGCGAAATCCCGACTTCGGCATCGTGAACTGAAAGCGGCGAGATGGCCGGCACGTGAGCCAACTTGAGGCACCCTTCTCCGCAGCCAGATCCAAGATCCTTTGGTCGTCCAGACTGAGCTGGTCCTCTGAGACAGGTGGTCGCCTTACACGAGTGGTCGCCTTGGCATGTTATACTGCATTTGTAAGGGGGCGGGAGTAGTTTCATGACTCAGGCTATGTTGCCATCGAAGAGGCTGATTCCGATGGGCGCACTACAACTACAGGACCGAGCCATGTTATTTCCAGTGAAGTGACCCTTAAGGCAACCACCCATCCCCAGAGTTTTTTTTTAAAGTCTGTCCATTGAGCTGTTAGACTTGTGTTAGTGCTACTTGACAAGTTTACAATATGCGCCGCGTTTTGGAATTCCATGTGCTGGCAGACGTCGTTTTCGTGCAAGTGCGTTCACACCGGCATGTACGCACGCACACACGCTCACACACACGCACACAAGCACACACACACACTCACTCTCTCTCTCTCTCTCCCTCTCTCTCTCTGTCTCTCACCTGACCCCTTCTCTGTTCGCTGTACAGGGCAGCATCAACACGGTGTCGTCGATCACGTGGAAAGGGGAGAAGCTTGTTCTGGGTGATATCGACGGCAACTTGCACATCTGGGACCTGAAAGGCAAAGTCTCAAAGTACGTACCCTCTGTAAAAAGTTGTGGATATGTACACAACATGTTTTGATCAACCAGCCCAGCGATAAAGAAATACTGTCTTCGTTCATGCCTCCTCGTCAGGTGAAATGCCGGGGAAGTGCATCCAGGACACTAAGAGCAATGAATTTGAAAAGTCAACGGGGAGACAACAAGCCAAGAATCGCAATGAATAGTACAACATGCGCGGTCATCATAATCTAAACGTGCATATGTATATACACATGTACACACATCTTCATTGAAACGGATTGGTGGACCGTCACGAGAAAACGTTCTCTGAGAAACCAAACCGGTCCATTGATGATGTGCCTATTCCGCGGCCTTTTGTACTATTCATTGCGACCAGTGAATTTAGTACAGCAGAGATGAGAAAGAGCAGGACAAAGAAGAGCAGCCGAAAACAACAGCGATAACATGCGTGACTCCGAGAGCACTGTAGAAGGAGTGACAAAAGGTGCAAGTGTGAAGAAGCCTGGGAAGCGTGAAGCATGGTGCGATGATCACCCTTCTGCTGTACTTAATTTTT